TGAAGAGCCGACAAGTTCTTTACCTTTGCATGATTTCTTCCTCCCAACCTCATTCCTTCGGTTGCGCTCGAGGTTACCCTATCAACCGAATATCTACCACCTTCCATCTTAAAAATGTAACAAATATTAATTTGCAACAAATATAATAATGAATACAAAAGTAATGCAACTAATTAAAACTATTTTAATTAATACTTCAAACTAATTTAGTGAAAACTACTTTAATAAAATGTGAAGTACTTTAATTAAGTAATGAATTAAAGTGTGACTCTAAAATAAAAATTGAAATTCGAACTAATCAATATAATTTTTTAATAAATACTTAAAACTAACAAGTGTGACTTTAACTAAAATGTGAGTAATTAAATTATAGTAACTTTTCAAGTACTTTAATTTAGTGAAAACTACTTTAATAAAATTATTGAACTACTCTTTTTTTCGTTCAAATATAAATTCAAATTATTATAATGTGACTTTAACTATAATGACAATTAACTAGTTTTTTAAAGTAGAAACAAAGGTAGCAATTAATGGGAATACTAATTAAGTAATTAACTACTTTAATGAAAAATGTAACAATTAGTGGGAATACTAATTAACTAATCAAGTAATATTAATACAATATATATATATATATATATATATATATATATATATATATATATATATATATATATAGTAAAACAGAAAAGTTTTACTATATCATCAATAACCTGCATTCCACATACCTCTCCATCATCATCAATGGGAGTCACCATGGCTTTTTTAAACCAAAGAGAGGAGTAAAGAAAGGGGATCCTCTTTCCCCTTTCCTTTTTATTATAGCCTCAGAGGTGTTTTCGAGGGGGCTTAAGTATTTGGTCTCAACGGGTTCCATTAAACCCTATTGGGTGGGAAGAGGCCGGTGTTCCTATACTAACTCATTTGGCTTTTGCAGATGACTTACTCATTTTCACCAATGGTAGTTGCAGCTCCATCAATGCGCTAAAGAAGTTTCTGGACTCCTATCAAAATGCATCAGGCCAATCCATAAATTTTAGCAAGAGCTCTTATATTATTGGCACCACTCCACAACCCAGAGCTGCCAACATCCACTCCACTCCCTGCTTGGCATGAGAAAGGGTAAGTTGCCAATGAAATACTTAGGGGTCTACCTGCACAGGGGAATAAACAGACTCAAATACTGCAAAGACCTCATTAATCAATTTGAGACAAAACTCACACCCTGGCTCCAGAAAAATCTGAGTCAAGGAGGCCGACTTATCTTAATCAGGCATGTTCTTTCCTCCATCCCACTCCATATCCTGGAAGCATAAGGGGCCCAGGGCACCGCGGCCCAAGTTCAAAGGAACCCACGGTGCGCCTGGGGGATGCCTTCGGCCCTATAGCCGAGGGGTCCAAAACTCACATGAAAATCGGATTTGAGCATACAAAACTATTGGGAGAAAATGGCAGAAAAACGGGAGCCTTCAGTCTCTTCTTGCCCTCGGCATAAGGGTAGCCTTCGGTTACACCGAGCCTTCGGCTGCCCAGAGCCTTCGGTTACAGGGTAGCCTTCGGCTACAACACAATCATCGAAGATTCCCTTTGGAGACAAGCAACCACCGCATTTAATGCGACGTCACATCCACCCACCGCATTTAATGCGGTGCACATGCGAATGCCGGTGCCACTCCGATTGAGGTGACCCCTCAGCCGTTAGATTGTTGACAAGTGTACTCTCATCGCATTTATGGCTGCTATAAATAGCATCCCTTATTTTCTTTGTAAAAGACATCGAGTTCATTTAATACATGTGACTCTCTCTCTCTTACTTGACTTCTCTGTAACACCCCCAAATTTATACCCAAAGTAGATGATAGTTATAGCAAGAATGGAATGAATTTCCCAAAACATTTAGGTTCAAAACGGTTTCAATTGCAGCGGAAGCAAAATATTAAATGGGTGTTACCGCCACATTCGGCTATCTCCTAACCGAATGCACAGGCTAAACCACAATCCAAAAAAATACATTTCAAGTATTTAAGTGCTGAAATGTCAAAAACAATTTAATTGTCTACATGTTCACAAAACTGGAATAAATATTAACTAAGTGATTGACAACTGATAAACTACGTGGTCCAGCGCAGCTCTCATCATAATGCATAATCCTCATCACCTGCACCAAATAAAGTGCAGAAAAAACAAAAACAAAAAAACAACAAAGAAACAAAAATTAGCTTTTTACTCCGTAGCTAAGTAAGACCTACCCAACCCCGTAAAATAATATAATTTGTCAAAATAGTTTTCACACATAAGTATAATTCAAAAATCAGTATCTCAAAAATATTAGGTACCCTTTAGTAAGATACTAGTAATTTCCAAAGCTATCATATCTTAATCAAAAGCATTCATAATCAACCCATAGTCATAGTTCTAAAATATAAGTTATATAGTCTCGGGGTAGTAAAATATTTCTTCGAAAACATGCTCATTCTCAGATAGATCTCAAAACCAACTAATTCACTTTTCTAAAAATAACCTCATCGCTCAAATAAATTTTATAAGCTCTTAAACAAAGGTAGTAAAAATACTTCTCTAAAAAACTTTCTATTTTTGAAACACATCTCCAAAAAATCATTTATATTACAAGTCTCAAAATTTATCTCAAGAGGTGGGCAGAACTCAAGATTCCTCAAGCCTAGTGAGCACGTGGGTCACCGCAGCCCCCATGACTCACCCCACAATTGCAGATCCCACGATTCTCAAAATCAAGTATGTTCACAAGTCTTAAATTAGTTCTCAAAAGATGGGCAGAACTCAAGATTCCTCGAGCCTAGCGAACACGTGGGTCACCGCAGCCCCCACGTCTCTCCCCGCAATTGCATATCCCATCGGTCACAAATAAATGGAAGCTAGACTTCTACCTTAAGTGTGCACACCCTCTAAAAGAGATTCCAAGCCCTCCGAGTAGTTAGAAGTCTAAATAGTCAGGATGTCTACTGACTACTCACAAATAGGATTTAATCCTCACAAAGCAAATTAGGAACTACTACTACCCTCTCAAAAGAAAATGATGAATACATCCTAGTGTCCGGGATGTCTACCGAATCACTCACAAGTCTCAAACAATTCACACAAAGTAGTAGTAGCCCTAACTCACTAGCATCCCGGGTTTCTCTGCAGGACACTCACAATTATGAAATCTTTGTTCATGGTTCTTATCAAAATAATTCGATCTCATTCTCAAAAACTTTCTCAAAATATCTCAATCATATTCATATCTCAAAATAGTATGCATATCATATCAAGTACAAAGTCATAGTTCTCAAATTAGGGTTTCCTCCGAAACTAGTTACAAAATAATATTTAATCTCATGTTCAAAATAATCCAATAAGGATAGTTCTAACTCCATAATATATATGTAAATATTCATATCAAATTATACATTTAAAAATATATAATTTGTCTAAAAACAATCTCCACAATTTCCCTAGTCAAAATGGCAATTTCACACAATTCACCATTTCGACTATAGTAATTAAAATAATTAATTACTCAAAATTCACACGTTCCAAAATTCCCAGAAAATCATATCATACTCAAACAAGTCTATCATATCCGAATCACACACAAAATTTCATAGAAATTCTCAAATCATATCGCAAACCCTAATTAATACATAATAGGGGCAAAAGAGTAGTTTTGGTTGCAATAGTCCTTACCTCGAGGATAGCAACGAATCCTAAACGTCAAACCTAGATTGAAGAGTCACTCACATGTCCTTAGGGAGTTATAGGGTTGAAGGATCATAATTTAGGAGAAAGAAATCAAGAAAACGGATGAACGATGCGAATTAGGCAACAAAAATGCTTAGCGGAAGATTGGATTGTTTGATCTCGTCCTTGGACTCAAAAATCATGTTGGATATGTTAATATTAAAGGTATGGGAGATATAGATCTTTAAGAGGCGGTTCTAGGGTTTTCGGAATGAGGAAAATCGGATTAGGGATGTATTTATAGTGAATTTCTGAAGTTTGGTCGAACTAGGACAAATCAGGGACGCACGACCGTGCGTGCCTCCACGCACGACCGTGCATGGCTGACAGTAGCTATTACGCTCAAATTTCATGCCATGCACACCGTTCATCACCCCATGCACGCCGTGCGTGACCCCCAGATGTCTGAAACTTTAGTTTTTGCTCTGTTTCTTCCCCGTTTGGACCTCCCCTTGGTCCGAAACACTGTACTAAATCAACCATCATACACTATCTAAAGACCATCTAAACGATACGAAACACGATTTTAATTACTTCTCAAATTTTCTCAAAATTTCGGGGCATTACATTCTCTCTAGGTTATTCCTCGAATAAGCTACCCCCGGGTACGCTATCCATCAGATGGAGATAATAGAACAACAAGTGTTGGAGGAGATGAAGCTCCAATAAATTCTAGCCTAGATACAGCAATCAATGGAATTGAAGCTCAGACACAGGTTCTTCACTACGATGAGGGTATAAATTCACAATTGCTTTTTGGTTAGAAATTTTAATTGATAAATTTCCCATCAATTAAAACTTGAGTTATTATTTGTCGCATAGCATTTAAACATTCAACGTTAATGAAATGAGGATTTGAGGTTAACTCGAATGCTTCCCAATTTAGCTGCAGTTCCTCCTGTTTAAGATTTTAGTTATAAAATATTCAAAAACAACTTTCAAATTAGAATGAATTATATCACTGCAATAAGCATGTTGTATTATTTGTGTGAAATTCAAAACTCTGTTAAACTTCACAAGCTAGAACTCTAGAACATGTTTATTCCTGTTATGAGTTTAATGGTTTTTGTAAATGTTAAAATCTTATAGCTTAATATTTGTATGTACAATGCAGTGGAGGTGGATAAAACACCGACATTTGAGCAAAAATTTGACTCTATTGAAGCTGCAAAATCCTTCTACAATGCGTATGCGAAATTGGTGGGGTTTGGGACGAAAGTAAGCAACACTAGCACCAATAAGAACAATGTTATCACATGGAAAGTGTTTGCGTGTCACAAGCAAGGAAAGACAAATACATATTATAGAGAAAAGATCAAGAACGGAAGTGATAAAGTTGGTGAAACAAACCGGGGTGAGATCCGATGTGGATGCATGGCTAGAATGCATATTTCCAAGGACTCTAAAGGGAGGGGGTATGTCACGCCCCGGACCTACCGGACACGTCAACAACCCGCCGTACAGTACGAATAGTCAACCGCAGTCCAACTCATCCATACTATACTAGGCGTCTTGAATACCATTCACACATAGTACATCCATAAACAATCATAACGTAAAATATTTAGTTAAGCAGCGGAAACATAATTACAAATATTCAAACCACACGTGGCAACCACTGGCATACAAGCCCCCAAATAAATATTCGAAATAATATCCATGAGCATTATTTAAATTGTTTTCAAAACGGAAACAGAAGAAGCACGAACCACGCCTTCCTCCTTGAATTCCCCGAAGCAACGAGCGGTAGTAGCAAGCTCTACTCCCTACCTGAAACTGTGAGGTGGCCTCCCCCGTGAAGGGGAGGTCAGTACTTGGAAACATTTGACAAATACAATGACAACTATACTAAGTATAATCAAAGTTTCAATTTCCAAGACCCTCAACCCAAGATGTTACTCATTTATAATTAACTCATGTTCTCCATGCTAGAGCTCGGCTCGTAGTCATATCAATTTGTGCTAGAGCTCGGCTCATAGTCACCCTACTTTTGCTAGAGCTCGGCTCATAGTCATACTAATTTGTGCTAGAGCTCGGCTCATAGTCACCCTACGTTTGCTAGAGCTCGGCTCATAGTCATACTAATTTGTGCTAGAGCTCGGCTCATAGTCACCCTACGTTTGCTAGAGCTCGGCTCATAGTCATACTACCACGTGCTAGAGCTCGGCTCATAGTCACGTCACTAATCCCTAAACCACTTCTTAGTCTAGGTTCCATCCATTTCGAGTAACCCTTAAGGCTTACTCCAAAAGTAACTTGAGTTCACAAAGTCCACCTTAAACATATCTTTTAAGGTTACTCAACTCCAAAGTCTTGGGATTGGCTCCCAAAAGCTATTGAACTAACATTCCCGACTAGTATCCTATACTAGTCATTTAATCTTAATAACCCAATGCATATTCATAATAATTTGAATATTTCAATTTAATTCCACATTCAAGTATAACTTGGCTTTAATATCAAAATATCACTTTTATCCTTCCATGGCTTCCTTACATGAGGTAAAAGTATATTTATCACAATTTAATTTATAGTTTACACAACTACTATACCATTGTATTCATAACACATAATCATACACAATTTATTCATAAATTTGTATATCATGCATTTTATTTGCTTATAAACAATAATAATCTCATTTAGGCATTTTTATTAAAAATAAATCATGCCAAACACATATAATTCATTTAGGTAATCTTATGAAATTAACCCAATAATTATAAGCAATATAGTCGGTCATCCTCACCTTAAGTGAGCTTAAGCGTGTTCTACGCTCCGCGGTTGAACTTTGACTAATTCCGGTGAACTTTGACCAACTCCGGCCAACTTTGACCAACTCCGGCGAAACTCCGGCGAAGCTCAAAGATACTTTATATCAAGTTCCTAACAAGGTTTTAACATCATAAAACCTTAATCAATACCCATAACCCTTAAAAGGTCATTTTCCGGGGAACTTGTCGGTTTGGCTTCTAAATCCGTTCTTGGACTTAGAACCACTCTCCCACCCATTATTCTACACTTAAATCATGTAGAACAACTCTCAAGGTTCTTCATATGATATATATCTCATATGATAGAAGAAAAATAAAGGAAAGTTTTGATAAGGTTATTACCTTAATCCTTTCACACTTTTAGCACTTTAGCTCCTTTTCTTGGTATTCTTTCTTGTAAAGCTCTCTTCAACAATGGAGGAGAATGATGGAGGATTCTTTGCTCTTGCTTGGAGGGTGCTGGCCGCAGGAAGTGAGGGAGAGAGTGGGTGAGGGTTGGTTTTTGTCTCTTTGATCCAATGAGTAAGGATGGGGGCCATCTAATGTACCTTTGATGCCCATCTATTCAACCCCAACACCTCCCACCTCCTCCTTTCCAATCCATCCGCCCACCACTTGGTTTTGTATGGCCAAATTCGTGGGTTGGCCCCCACTCATGTGGGAGGTCAACCCTTTTTGTCCAGAAGTGTACAATTGGCCCCGAAAGTTGTATTTTTCGGACTGTTTTAAATATATTTTATTTTATCGGGTCAAATAAAATATATTATGTGTTCTTAATCATTATAACCTTTATAATGAATATACATTCCCAAACTTTAATTTATAAGTCCCCGAAATTCAATTTCGGGCTTTTATCGGTTAAATTGTCAATACCGATATTTGGGCTTCTTTTGACCGATCGGTCAACTCTGGACCTTTCCATGGTCCGAATGAAATAGCCACCACTATATAAATATTATCTTGACCAAGATAAATAAAATATATGGTTTCGGGGATTTCGGGCGGCCCCGCTCCCGGTGTGGGTCCCACGTGCGAATTTATTATTCACGCAAAAGAAGTATTAAAAATTCACCACTTCGTATTTTCATTAACCATTCCATGAGGTTCAATACATTATACTCTTAAAAGTAAATACATTTGGGGACGGTGTTACAAGTTCACCCCCCCTTATTTGGGATTTCGTCCCCGAAATCTACGTGTCTAATCGAAAAGAAACGGGTATTGCTCCCTCATTGAGACCTCAGTCTCCCAGGTTTCTTCTTCGACTCGATCACTCCTCCAAAGAACCTTTACCATAGGAAATTCTTTGTTCCTCAGTTTCTTCACCTGTTGACCCACAATCTTTACCGGTTCCACCGCATATTGTAGATCTTCACGTATCTCCACCGGTGGCTTCTCAAGAATATGAGACGGATCTCTCACGTATTTCTTGAGCATCGATACATGAAACACGTCGTGTATCTTCTCAAGTTCTGGCGTCAACTTGAGACGGTATGCTACGGCCCCTATCCTTTCAAGGATTTCAAATGGACCAATGTATCGGGGGTTAAGCTTTCCCCTCGATATAAATCGGATGATACCCTTCTAAGGAGAAATCCTTAGGAAGACCTTATCACCGACCTCGAACTCCAATGGCCTGCGTCGTTTGTCGGCATAACTCTTCTGCCGATCTTGGGCAGCCCTGAGTCTATCCTGAATGACCTTCACCTTAGCCTTGGTGATTTCAACAAGTTCAATCCCTTCGAGCTTGGCCTCGCCAACCTCGTCCCAACACAACGGTGTTCTGCATTTCCTCCCATACAATGCCTCGTATGGAGGCATGCCAATACTTGCCTGATAACTGTTGTTATAGGCAAACTCGACTAGAGCCAAATGTTTGTCCCAACTCCCTTGGAACTCCAGAGCACACGCCCTAAGCATGTCCTCCAATATCTGTATCACCCTCTCAGATTGTCCATCCGTCTGTGGATGAAAAGCTGTGCTAAACTTCAGTTTAGTACCCAAAGATGCTTGAAACTTGGGCCAAAACCGAGATGTGAATCGTGGATCCCTATCCGAGACAATGGATATCGGGACTCCATGTAATCTCACAATCTCTTCCGTGTATAACTTTGCCAATCTTTCAAGAGGATAAGTAATGTTGATAGGCAAAAAGTGTGCACTCTTAGTGAGCCTATCAACCACTACCCATACTGCATCGTAGTTGTTCACTGTTCGTGGTAGCCCCACCACGAAGTCCATGGTAACATGCTCCCACTTCCATTCTGGAATGGTCAGTGGCTGCAAAAGCCCCGCCGGGTGCTGATGCTCTGCCTTAACTTGTTGGCAAGTAAGGCATCGACTCACGTACTCTGCGATGTCTCTCTTCATACCCGACCACCAGTAACTTTCCTTCAAGTCTCGGTACATTTTGGTACCCCCTGGATGCATAGCATATGCCGAAGAATGAGCCTCCTCTAGTATGGACTTTTGGAGCTCCTCACTCTTTGGTATGCATACACGGTCTTTAAACAGTAAAAGGCCGTCATCACGTACCCGAAAGTTCTCCACGGGCCCTTCAAGGATCCTTTCGCGGATCTTCTGGCATTCTTCATCAGTGGCCTGACATCTACTGATCTCACTCAACAATGTAGGCCTAACTTCGAATCTAGCAATGAGGACCCCACTCGTGGACACCTCCACTTGTGCCCTCAAAGTTTGTAGACATGTGAGTAGTGTCCCCGACGTACTCTTCCTGCTCAGCGCATCGGCCACTACATTGGCCTTTCCGGGATGATAGTCGATGATCAAGTCATAGTCCTTGATCAACTCCATCCATCTCCTCTGCCTCATATTCAACTCCTTCTGAGTGAATACATACTTCAGACTCTTATGATCGGTAAAAATGTGACATGTCTCCCCATAGAGGTAATGTCTCCAAATCTTTAGTGCAAACACTACCGCCCCCAACTCTAGATCGTGGGTAGGGTAGTTCACCTCGTGTTTCTTCAATTGCCTAGAAGCATAGGCAATCACCCGACCGTTTTGCATTAGTACACATCCAAGCCCTTGGATGCTAGCATCACTGTATATGTCATACCCTATCCCTTGTGTGGGTAGAGCGAGAACAGGTGCTTCCGTAAGCCGTTTCTTTAGTTCGAGAAAGCCTTTCTCACAATTGTCGTCCCATATGAACTTGGCCCCTTTCTTCGTGAGCTTTGTCAATGGAGACGCCAATACGGAGAATTTTTCAACAAACTTTCGATAGTATCCCGCTAAGCCAAGGAAACTACGTATCTCTTTCACATTTTTGGGTCTCTCCCAATTCATAATGGCTTCTGTCTTGGCTTTATCCACCGAAATGCCCGAACTTGACACGACATGCCCGAGAAACCCAATCTCTTTGAGCCAAAACTCGCATTTAGAGAACTTGGCAAAGAGTTGTTTTTCCCTTAGCCGTTCAAGTACAAGACTCAAATGATCTTCATGCTCCTCTTCACTTTTGAAGTATATCAAAATGTCGTCAATGAACACTATCACAAATTGATCTAAGTATTCACTAAACACACGGTTCATCATGTCCATGAATGCTGCCGGTGCGTTGGTTAGACCAAATGACATCACCAAAAACTCGTAGTGACCATATCTAGTGCGAAATGCACTCTTAGGTATGTCACTCTCCTTTATCTTCAACTGATGATACCCCGACCTTAAATCAATCTTCGAGAATACTGTTGCCCCTCGAAGTTGATCGAACAAGTCATCAATCCTCGGTAAAGGATACCTGTTCTTGATCGTGACCTTGTTCAACTGTCGGTAGTCTATACACATTCTTAGTGTACCATCTTTCTTCTTTACGAAGAGTACGGGTGCTCCCCACGGTGAATGACTGGGTCTAATGAACCCGTTGTCCAATAGCTCCTGAAGTTGAACCTTCAATTCTTGAAGCTCGGCCGGTGCCATTCGATAAGGAGGAATCGAAATGGGTTTGGTTCCCGGCTCCACTTCAATTACGAATTCGATCTCCCTGTCGGGTGGAAGCCCCGGCAAGTCTTTGGGAAAGACATCCGGATATTTGCACACGACACGTACATCGTTGATGTCAACCTCCTTCTTTGCTTCATCCACCACGTAAGCAAGGTATGCGTGGCATCCCTTCTTTATCATCTTCCGTGCCCTCATCACGGATATTATGCAACTATGAGATCCTCCCCGATCTCCCTCGAAACGTAGAGTGTTTCCCTCAGCATCCTCGAGTTCCAAAACCTTGGCATAACAATCCACTCGAGCATGATGTTTCTCGAGCCAATCCATCCCTAGAATTGCATCGAATTCTAACATACTTAGAGGTACGAAGTCACAAGTCAAAGGTTGACCCGTCACTTCTACCTCACACGAAGGATAGTAGTGTTTCCTCTCCACATCGTCTCCCAACGGTGTAGAGACCAACAGGGGTTGTGTCATTACTATCATCGGCACGTCTAAACTTTCGGCAAACGCTTCACTCACGAATGAACGTTGTGCCCCGGTATCAATGAGAATTCTTGCGTTTCTACCGTTGATCTTTAATGTTCCTACATTCATAAGTCATGTGAGACACACTAGGCAACGTACCGGATCGAAACGGGGCTTAACGAAAATTTTTCGGGTGACAATACACTGGACCGGCGCCGGTTCTAGGCAAGACCGGCGCCGGTTTGCCTTTGGGGTGGCCGGATTCACGCAAAATAAACTGGACCGGCGCCGGTTATGGCCAAAACCGGCGCCGGTTTACCATCGGCAACTTCGGAAAAATGTTTTTCTTCAAAAACCGGCCCCGGTTACGAGCACGGTGATTCTTCCGACCACTTTTTCCCCTAGACCGGCGCCGGTTATGGCCAAAACCGGCGCCGGTTTTGCTACGGCGTCTCCCGGAATTCAAGTTTTAATTGGCCTGAGTCACCCCGACCCTTGACCGGCGCCGGTTATGGGTCAAAACCGGCGCCGGTTTACCCACGGCGACCCCGAAACAGCCATTTTTAATTAGAACCGGCGCCGGTTTGAGCCTTGACCGGCGCCGGTTTACCCCTGGGCAGCTTATTTTTGCAACTTTTTGCCAAGAAACCGACCGGTATCGGCCCCGGCGGGCCTGTACAAATCCGCTATCATTTTTAGCACTCGATACATGTAATTTATCAAACGTTACAACGGATTACCTGCAACGGAGTCGGGATTAGCCCGAGCGTCGGCCTCGGTCATCGCATAGACCCGTGCTTGAGACCTCCCCTGATTCACGGACGGCGCGTTGCTCGTGCTCGCTCCCCCTTGCCCCGTACTAGCATGAGGTGCCCCGGTTCGGCTCCTACTCGCCGTGGTGGCGCCGCTTGATCCCGCCCCTCGGTTCCCACCAAGTTGAGGGCAATTTGGTTTAATATGCCCTGTGCTCCCGCATTGGAAGCACCGTGGTGGATCACGACACTTACCGGCGTGGCTCCTGTTGCAATTCCTGCACCTGGGCGTCGTTGAGGCTTGGGAGCCCGAGTTGTGCCCGCTGAAGGCCGGGTTCCCCTTGGATGGCGGCGCCGGTGCTCTGAACGATCCACCTCCCCCATGATTCCCCTTTTTGTTAGAACCTTGGGGGCCATGGTTCTCCCACTTCCTCTTCTTCGCCTCATCGGCGTCTCTCTTCTTTCTCTCTTCCCATTGCTTCTCTCCTTTCAACCCTTGGGCAACCACTTGGCTGAAAGTCATGTTGGGCAATTGAGTCGCCCTATCACGTATCTCCAAGTCCAAGGCCTCCCAAAAGTGATTCACCATTCGGTTTTCATCACAAGCATACTCCGGTATGTGGTCGGCAAGGTCCCTGAACTTGTGCTCAAGTTCTTTCACCGTCATGTTACCCCCTTGGGTTAGAAGAGTGTATTCTCTCACCTTGGCATTTACCTCAAAGTCAGAGTAGTATTGGGCAAAGAATTCTTGCCGAAAATCCTCCCAAGTAACATTCCCTCCATACTTGCCCTTGGTTCCATCCCACCACTTGGATGCCAACCCTTCAAGTAACCTCACCGCGATTCTCAGTTTGAAAGCGGGGGTGAGTTGCATGTCCAGGGCTGACTCGTTCAGCCTCTTGATCCATTGCGCGGCCACCGAGATGTCCCCCGTCCCATCGAACGGTTTGCACCCCAAGTCCCTCGCCTCTTTGATGTATTTGGAGATCCTTATGGTTGGACCTCCATCACCTCGACTCCCATGCGCTTCCACATGGGTTCTTGAATCACAATAGCTCCTTCCTCTTGGAGCCCCACCCGAAGGTTGCCCTGCACGGCGCCTTCGGCGTTCCCTCCTTTCCTCGCGCTCCCGATGATATTGTTGGAGCAGCGCTTCGATCCGAGCCAAGGAGCCACTTTCCTCCTCGTCGCTCACATCATCATCATCCCCTTCATAAGGGGTCTCAACCGGCTCAGTTTCCGGCCGGTAGGTTGAGTCCTCATAAGACCAATAGGTCTCACTCTCCGTGTCGACGTGGCCATCGCTCACGGTTTGACGTTGGCCTCCACGGCCCCTTCCTCTTGATCCCCTAGTGGACCCCCGGCTACCGCGCTCGGATCCATCCGGTACACGGCCCGTCGGGTTCCTCCTAGTGACCCTTCCGGTTGGCTCCATTTCTGAAAGGAAGTAGAATGAGTCATTAGACTCGTATCAATGTCAAGTGACGGATAGGTACTTAAAGACATCCTTTGGCTCAAATCACCGCCATACCAATTGTTAAGGGTACCATCTTAACAATTAGAGACTTTGCAACTCAAGTATCAAAAGTTCTATAAGTACAAAAACTTTTATGCTCATGGTTTTCAAATTCATTTTTGAAAAGAGATTTTGAAGCTTCATTATGAAGTTTACGGACTAAGGCTCTGATACCAATTAAATTGTCACGCCCCGGACCTACCGGACACGTCAACAACCCGCCGTACAGTACGAATAGTCAACCGCAGTCCAACTCATCCATACTATACTAGGCGTCTTGAATACCATTCACACATAGTACATCCATAAACAATCATAACGTAAAATATTTAGTTAAGCAGCGGAAACATAATTACAAATATTCAAACCACACGTGGCAACCACTGGCATACAAGCCCCCAAATAAATATTCGAAATAATATCCATGAGCATTATTTAAATTGTTTTCAAAACGGAAACAGAAGAAGCACGAACCACGCCTTCCTCCTTGAATTCCCCGAAGCAACGAGCGGTAGTAGCAAGCTCTACTCCCTACCTGAAACTGTGAGGTGGCCTCCCCCGTGAAGGGGAGGTCAGTACTTGGAAACATTTGACAAATACAATGACAACTATACTAAGTATAATCAAAGTTTCAATTTCCAAGACCCTCAACCCAAGATGTTACTCATTTATAATTAACTCATGTTCTCCATGCTAGAGCTCGGCTCGTAGTCATATCAATTTGTGCTAGAGCTCGGCTCATAGTCACCCTACTTTTGCTAGAGCTCGGCTCATAGTCATACTAATTTGTGCTAGAGCTCGGCTCATAGTCACCCTACGTTTGCTAGAGCTCGGCTCATAGTCATACTAATTTGTGCTAGAGCTCGGCTCATAGTCACCCTACGTTTGCTAGAGCTCGGCTCATAGTCATACTACCACGTGCTAGAGCTCGGCTCATAGTCACGTCACTAATCCCTAAACCACTTCTTAGTCTAGGTTCCATCCATTTCGAGTAACCCTTAAGGCTTACTCCAAAAGTAACTTGAGTTCACAAAGTCCACCTTAAACATATCTTTTAAGGTTACTCAACTCCAAAGTCTTGGGATTGGCTCCCAAAAGCTATTGAACTAACATTCCCGACTAGTATCCTATACTAGTCATTTAATCTTAATAACCCAATGCATATTCATAATAATTTGAATATTTCAATTTAATTCCACATTCAAGTATAACTTGGCTTTAATATCAAAATATCACTTTTATCCTTCCATGGCTTCCTTACATGAGGTAAAAGTATATTTATCACAATTTAATTTATAGTTTACACAACTACTATACCATTATATTCATAACACATAATCATACACAATTTATTCATAAATTTGTATATCATGCATTTTATTTGCTTATAAACAATAATAATCTCATTTAGGCATTTTTATTAAAAATAAATCATGCCAAACACATATAATTCATTTAGGTAATCTTATGAAATTAACCCAATAATTATAAGCAATATAGTCGGTCATCCTCACCTTAAGTGAGCTTAAGCGTGTTCTACGCTCCGCGGTTGAACTTTGACTAATTCCGGTGAACTTTGACCAACTCCGGCCAACTTTGACCAACTCCGGCGAAACTCCGGCGAAGCTCAAAGATACTTTATATCAAGTTCCTAACAAGGTTTTAACATCATAAAACCTTAATCAATACCCATAACCCTTAAAAGGTCATTTTCCGGGGAACTTGTCGGTTTGGCTTCTAAATCCGTTCTTGGACTTAGAACCACTCTCCCACCCATTATTCTACACTTAAATCATGTAGAACAACTCTCAAGGTTCTTCATATGATATATATCTCATATGATAGAAGAAAAATAAAGGAAAGTTTTGATAAGGTTATTACCTTAATCCTTTCACACTTTTAGCACTTTAGCTCCTTTTCTTGGTATTCTTTCTTGTAAAGCTCTCTTCAACAATGGAGGAGAATGATGGAGGATTCTTTGCTCTTGCTTGGAGGGTGCTGGCCGCAGGAAGTGAGGGAGAGAGTGGGTGAGGGTTGGTTTTTGTCTCTTTGATCCAATGAGTAAGGATGGGGGCCATCTAATGTACCTTTGATGCCCATCTATTCAACCCCAACACCTCCCACCTCCTCCTTTCCAATCCAGCCGCCCACCACTTGGTTTTGTATGGCCAAATTCGTGGGTTGGCCCCCACTCATGTGGGAGGTCAACCCTTTTTGTCCAGAAGTGTACAATTGGCCCCGAAAGTTGTATTTTTCGGACTGTTTTAAATATATTTTATTTTATCGGGTCAAATAAAATATATTATGTGTTCTTAATCATTATAACCTTTATAATGAATATAAATTCCCAAACTTTAATTTATAAGTCCCCGAAATTCAATTTCGGGCTTTTATCGGTTAAATTGTCAATACCGATATTTGGGCTTCTTTTGACCGATCGGTCAACTCTGGACCTTTCCATGGTCCGAATGAAATAGCCACCACTATATAAATATTATCTTGACCAAGATAAATAAAATATATGGTTTCGGGGATTTCGGGCGGCCCTGCTCCCGGTGTGGGTCCCACGTGCGAATTTATTATTCACGCAAAAGAAGTATTAAAAATTCACCACTTCGTATTTTCATTAACCATTCCATGAGGTTCAATACATTATACTCTTAAAAGTAAATACATTTGGGGACGGTGTTACAGGGTATTATGTAACACAACTCGAGAAGGCTCATAATCACTAGTTAGTCAGTCCTAGTAAGACACATTTATTACGTTCTCCCCGAAATGTGACTAATTCCAAAAGAATACTGATGAATCAATGGGGTGATGCCAATGTTGAGACCCACACTCAAATTAGTTTACTTGAGAATGAGGTTGGAGGTCCCTCTTCAATGGGTTGTACAAAGATGGATATAGATAACTACAAGGCGTCGCTAAATGCTAGAATTAATGGAATTGATGTACAAACAATGATTCACGGATTTCAAACAGAAAACAACGGGAAGGTAAATTTTTTTATGCATATGAAACGAACGAGGAAAAAGTTCTTAATTGTTGCTTTTGGGAAGATAGTGATAGCAGGAACTACTATGCATTCTTTGGCGAGGTCGTTGTATTTGACACAACGTTCAATACAGACAAGTATGGATTCTATCTTGCACCTTTTGTAGGAGTCAATCATCATAATCAAACAACTATTTTTGGATGTGGCTTCTTACGCGATCAATGCACTGAGTCCTTTTCATGGTTGTTTTCAAAGTTCTTGGAAGCTATGGTTCCCTGTGGTCCTCCTTCAGTTATAATTACAGACCAAGATGCTGCGATTACAAAAGCAATTGCAAGTGAGATGCCAACAACAGCACACCATCATTGTTTATGGCATATAATTAAGAAGTTTCCTGAAAAAATGAACGTGTCACATGCACAATATTAGGAAATACACAAATGCCTTATTAATATTGTTATGCGGGCAGAAACTCCAGATGATTTTGATCGTCAGTGGACTGATTTGCTATTAACTCCGCAGCTCGCAGGGAACAAGTGGCTTGGAGATATATATGAACTACGACGCAAATGGGTTCCTGCATATGTGAAACATGTTTTTAGCGCAAGGATGTTGAGTAGTCAACAAGTGGAAGGTACTCATGCCTTCTTAAAGAAATACTTGAACAAAAAATGCACCATCAGCCAATGTTTTACATGCATAACTAGGGCAATTGTTCACCAAAGACACCGTGAGCTTGTTGCTGACCATCGAGACCGGAATGAAGTGCCAAGGGTGATTTCTAGTTATGTGATGGAAAAACAAATGCCACACATATACACAAAAGCAATTTTTATGAAGTTTCAAAAAGAAATGGAAGAGTGTGCACTCACTCTACACATGACATTTGCTCTCACGTTTTTCACGTGGTAGGGTTTATGAAATCAAAAGATTTGATGAGGTGTCAACTTCTACACCTACCAATGCAAGAAAAGTTACATATGATATCACCCCGGGATTAATATCTTGTTCTTGTAAAAAAAATGAGTTTGTCGGTATTCCGTGTCGCCACATGCTTTTGTGGATGCGGCTAGAACAAGTCATGCTCTTGCCTGACCAGTATATTCTTCAACGTTGGACACAGAATGCGAAGAGCAACCCTCTTGATAAGTCTCACACACAATCATTCTCTGGACAGAAATTGTGGTCACGAAAACCAAGAAAGTAAAAGTTGGTATTGTTTGGTAAAATAAGTGCTTTTTTCTTAAAAAAAAAAGCCAAAGGCACTTAAATTAATTATTTGCAAACAAAGCCTAAATACGGAGTATTATTTACTAGTAGATTTTTTGGTGGATGGGACCCATCATTAAACATGTCATCTAGCCACATGTGATGTCTGGCTCTATAATGGAGTCACGTATAACTCCATAAAATTTCCGGGGAAAAGGGGCAAATAAGCGTACCTACTAATTAAAAAAGGTCAAATAAGCCCTTATTTAGGAGGTTCTGTCCGGCCGTCGCCATTTGAGGCGGTTCCCGGTAGAATGTTTTAATGAATTTTTTTGAGTATCTTATTCATTGAGTCTAGTTTACTCATACCAAATTTTATCTAACAATTCAACCGGGAAGACATTCAAATGAATTCTTGAAGATAACTGTGTTTTTAACTGCACAGTTATTTTCAAGAATTCATTTGAATGCCTTTCCGATGGAAGTTTTAGCTGAAATTTGGTATGCATAAACTAGACTGGATGAATAAGATGCTAAAAAAATGTCATTAAAAAATTCCATCGGAAACCACCTCAAATGACGACGGTCAGACAGAGCCTCCTAAATAAGGGCTTATTTGACATTTTTTTGTTAATACATGGGCTTATTTGCCCCTTTTCCCAAATTTCTCCCTACTATCAAGTGTGTTTGTATCAAGTACGTTCGGCAATACTCCGTACTATTTATTTCTCAATTACATTTCTATAGAGTTGGTATATTTTCTTAAAATTTTTAAATTTTTAATTTCTCAGAAAGAAAATTGTTTAAGATTTTAATTTCCCTAGCTTAGCATGCATGTTTAAATTAGGCTTAAAGTCTTATTTAAAAACTCACATAATTACTTGTAAGTTGCAATCATTATATTTGTTTTTTTCAATACGTTATCTTAATGTTAATTTAGTTTTTAAAAATGTTTAAAGTGAGATAGAAAACGGTTAAACATTTTAATTTTCAAAAATGTTTTGCTCTTGGACCGCACTGCATAATGCATACATTTTTTTTTTACAAATATTGTGGAAAGTTAATTACTCTGCGTTATTCGATCTGGATAAATTATCATAGAACATATTTTGAATAATCATTAAGTATATTAGTAGTAATCTTGTTAAGACCTGGGGTTCCATCCTAAAAGGTCAACCCGTTAGGAGGAGTAGTCCAGATCTTAATATAGTGTTAAATTCTTTCAGAGATATCTGGTGTGGGACTTTTAACACCCCTACTCACGACCAGACACTTTGTCTGGATCGTGCCGCCATTCATTTTTTTCATCGGTTCGTCATTGTCATTTTTTTATAATCGTGTCATCATTTTTCATAAGGGGTTCCCGGCCCACACCATGGATCGATTTGGCTCTGATACCATGTTAAGACCTGGGGTTCCATCCTAAAAGGTCAACCTATTAGGAGGAGTAGTCTAGATCTTAATATAGTGTTAAATTCTTTCAGAGATATCCGGTGTGAGACTTTTAATAAATCTGCCATTGTAGGTATATATCGTTTGAATTGTCATCAAGTATTTCGTTTCATATTTGTACGTATGTACGTAAGTTTGTTGAAGGTATATTAGAATCTGTTATCTTAAGTATTTATCATGAGAAGTAAGTAATTTGAAAACATACCTAGCTATTTCGTCTAAGGAATATACATTCCATAGAATTGAAGGTGCAAAAGAATCAGGAGTAAAGGATAGAATATGATAGACTCGTACTGCATGAACCTTCAAAGCGTGGATGATTCGCATCTTTTATTACTCTGGCCTAGTTCCGACCATTTTAAATTCTTGTTTGTTAGACAAAATTGATTTCAATTTCGTTAGACATGGAATGTGATTGCTGATTCATTCAAACGTTCTACATAGTATTATTTATATACATCAAAAGGCCAAAAAATTAGTATTTTTTTTATATACAGCAAAAGGCATTAAGAAGACACCACATGCATGGAGCGGCCAAAAATTTATTGCTGCAACGGGAAACCAAAACATCAGCCGCCCTCTGAATTATTTCACCCAATTGGAAAACACTCTTTTTGGAATTCGATCGGCTAAGGGTTAGTTTGCAACTGCTTTTAAAAAAGTACTTCTTACCTTTTGGCTTTAAAAAAACACTTATTTTCCCAAACACTACAACTTTTATTTTTTTCGGCTTCCGCGTCAAAAGTGCTTTTACTTTTTCTATTACACAAAAAACACTTATTTTACCAAACACTACCCACTTTTACTTTCCAAAATCACTTTTTTTTCTCAAACACTATCAACTTTTATTTAATCACTTCTACCCATTTCATTAAAAAAAACATTTTTTTAAAAGTAAAAGCTGTTGCAAACAGACCCTAAGAAATACCGATGATTGGGGGGGGAGAGTTGGAATAATCTTCTACCACGTATGTAATAATCACGTCACTACAATACACACAGATTGCTTCCGTTGGAATTGCGTGTTTTCTGTAATACTTTGGGCGGGAACTTGCTAAGCAAGTTTTCTTTTGCTATTATATAGACTTTCCCACTGTAGCAAATGTTAAAAAAAAAAACTATTGATATGGTTGTAGGAACCGAAAAGGCAATGTGAATAAAGGGGAATGGACAGGAAAAAACGTAACATTGGGGCGGGGGTAGCATACTAAATACAGCTTACAATAACGAAATCTAACTATTACATTTCTCAAAAAGAAAAGTAATCTACTAATTAATGTGCGAAGCACATTTTTCGCACATTGTTCAACACACACTTTTAATACTTGCATCCGATGAAAGAGTGGCTTTTCATATTCTAGCATAAAATATTCTACTATAAATAC